TCTGGGGCAAATGTCGCGACAGGCTGTGCTGCAGACTCGGGTTATCTGCCGAAATTTAATGGCTGTTGCAGGATCAGGAACATTGAAGACGGTCTCTGACCCGTCTATCTCTGAGGTCCAAAAGAACAGTCGCTCGTCGAAAGGGACTGACTGACGTTGGCAGCAGTATCAGAATTCAGAGGGTAAGGTATGTTATTTTCAGAGTTCATCTGTGACACTAAATCTGCACCCTGTTGACGGGAATTCACTGAAAAATGAACTGTTTGATTGTCACGTCTGACGCTGATGTCTTTCCTCGTTTTTTCATTAGTCTCTTTTATGTACTTCTGTAAACGGCATCCATAATGTCGGCAACTACAGAAACTAGTTTTATCGCATTGGAGCGGACAGAAATGTGAATGAATCAACTAATTTTTAGTAATATTTTTTGAACTACCTTCGTCAACGTGACAGACAAACTCTGTACAATCATATTTCGATTTACATATCTTCAGGCCTGACATTTTCTTAAGCAATTCTGATCGATGCAACGGATTACCTGAGTCAGTAAAAATGAGGAACTGGCAGCTACGTGTATGGTCAACGCTAAGTGGAATTGCGACTACTTACGTTCTGGCTGGGGAATGTAATCTGTTGATATTTTGTATATGTTCTTGCGCAATACTTTGTATGCTGCCGTTGACTAGATCATTCGTTCAGCGTTGTTTCCCATGGTCTTTGGCAATCACTTGTTGAACAGCGGTTTGTAACCGCCATAGCCTTGAACCGTCTTGTACCGTGTCGTTAAGTTATTTCCCTTGTGTGGATGATTCTCCGCTGAGTCTGTTTTTAAGCATCAATTCTAATATTTCAATTCTATTAACGGATCTGATAAAGCCGCTCTTTTTCGTACTTCTCAGTGGATTTTAATCTCTTTACGATTCCCACTACATTGCGTTCATAAAGAAACAGTACCAAGCTACAGTCTGAATTGCTAAATTTTTTGCCATTGTTTACCTCGCATACCCTTCTCGCCGTGTATGACTCGATCCGTGCCAGAAAAAAACAAAACAGGAAAATATTAATTATTGCATCTCTGTGTCTGTTTTAATTCTTTTTTACGTTGGTCTCTACTGGCATGTGATAAAGCTCATTTTCTTTCCACATGCCCCAATGAAAATCACTGAACATTTAAAATGACCTGTAAGACTTCTTGTTTCTTGTCTTGTCGTCTAATAGTATACTGATAGAATATGTTTTCTTGACAATGGCCATGTTCGGTAAGACACCAGTCAATCGGGAAATGCTCATATGGCTTCGTGCTAACGTTCGTTCGACGTGAAAGAAACATGGCGGAAGCAGAAGCGTATCTCGCTTTCTTTGAGAGTGATCAATAGTAGCTACCGCAACGACAGACAACAGTCGCCAGATCTCGAAACGCTGAAGTTGGGAAAGGCAGCAACGAAGCTGCGCTGGAGGAGGCTGCATATTCAAGCGAAAGCCATCGTCAACGGTGGCAGATAGAAACATGCTACTGGCGTGTTGCAGAGCAAGTCCACGAACTGTTGCAAGACGTTGATTGCCCAACAGAAATGGTGGGCTAAACACTTCGCATGCATGACTCGTTGATTGGCTTGATTTTGCGGTTGATCCTGAAATGCAAGTGGGCAGATCTGTATGCTCACTGTACCCCACTATTGATCGCCACTTCGACACATCTGTACCGAACTCGAAATCCTGCCCTGCCGACATGACCGGATTGGTGCAGAAATCCTTCATTGCGGCGGCTCAAGCTTTCTCACCTGAATCCATCTACCTTTCAGTGGCATCTGATGGAAATCAGTGGTACCCGAAGGCTGGAATAAATGTGTGATCATCCCGATCTCTAAATCTGCGAGTCTCCTGATTCTACTAACTATCGATGAATCACCCTTATGCATTTGCTGGAGAAGGCATTCGAAAGTGGAAGTTCGAAAGGTGCCACTGCTGCGAACAAATAAAAGCAGGCCGAAGCGGACAAACTCACAAAAAATGCGGGAGTTACCGACTGCCTGATACGCAGTGTTTTCGACCTCCGGAAAATCTTCGATTCAGTTCAACGCCGGACAATGTGGCATGTTCTTCGAGATTGGAGTTGCACAGATGATGGAAAACCTTGTTTTCTAGTTGACAGGAGGCGTTGCTCGAACTGAATGATCACTGTCAAACTGGTTAGACATTATCAGTGGAGTCTGTCACTCATTCGTCACGAGGTGCTCCCTCTCTTGCTATTCAACATCATGGAGGAAGATTGTCGTCCCAGTTAACAACGAGACATTATGATGCCATTTAGCTACTCCGCAAGTGGCCTGTTGACACTCATGGAAGGCGTGTGCAACACGTCTGTGGAATGAGGCTACAACTCACTACCGACAAGACAAAGATTATGCGAGCGCTCGTCAGTATGCTTAGTCTGAGAATACTCTGGGACTCTATTGCGATAGAAGAGATGAACCGTTTTAGGTATTTCAGAACAGACTTGACTAGTGATAACAGCGCTGATCGTGAAGCTTGCATAAGTTGATTTAATCTTTTCGGAATCATATAATTACCACAGTACGTACACATAATTGGTAGATATTCTTGCTAATTGAACAAGATCTAAGTGATCAAGGTTATTTTCTATATACCTGTTGGGTGTTGCCTTCGTCCATTCTGCTGTATTATGTCCAGTTCACGTTTTATCACGCACAAATTTGAAAGATTTATGACTTTTTCTGTGAATAATAAACGTTCATAATCCGGGAAATCGAGGTGGCAGTTTCAAGTATTTGTCTTCAGATAAAACTTTGTTTATCGCTGAATTATGTCGTTGAGCGAATGAGACCAACTTTTCGAATGTTATGCGTTTGCCCATTATCACATGTACTGTATGTCTCTTAGCAGAGACCATGCAACGTTGGCTATTTTCGCTAATGTCCAGATGACGGAATAGCCAGCGCCCCGCCGTTACTAAGCCACCACATGAGGAGCAGCGAAGATGATCGCACATGTGCCGACAAACAGAAACATGGTAAAAACGATTAGGCATAATCGGTCGATGACCATCGCGGCGAACTTCCAGTCGACTATGATTTCATGGTCCTCGTCTTCCTTGTGCATTCGTTCGGTGATGTAACGAAGTTCCTTGAGGATCAACATCAGCTCCTTTCGGTACTGTGAATCGTGTCGTTGTTTGTAGTCGTCTAGCGGGGTACTGTAGACTGGCTCAACTTTGCGTTTTTCGGTGCAGAACACTGGGTGCTCGTCGACATCCAGTACGTTGGCCATCAGCGACCGTGACAGGCGTTCGTGCAGTGCCATGCTCTTCAGTTCACGTGCCTTCTGCACGCTACGGCGGCTAAAGCTTCTTCCTGGCCGCTTCATCATTAGGATCCATGGTAGCCAGTTGAGGAACACAAGCCGAATCTGTGAAATGTGCATAAAAGTTCGAGAGGCGATGCAGCCATCGTTTTAATACTTACGAACGGAGACATATGGTAGATCTCGCCGGTGCGATGGTGAAAGTTCAGCACCAGAACTGTCAGTACAACTGAAGCGGAAACAAGAATCATGATACAAGAAAAATAGGTGCCTGTAAAGAACGAGTAAATATGTATCGCACACTGAACATAAAAACGATTTCTGTTTTGAGCCATGTCAACCAAGATGTTGACTTCGACGTGATGCAGAACAAATTGCATCACAGACAGAATCAGCGGCGAAATCGTTTTCAGATAAATTCAAAAGCAGTGCATTCACGTACCCAGAAGAGGAACTGTTTCGCTAGTGGCGGGAACAGACATTGCGACAACTTGCAAATAAAATACCAGAGATACGACTACATTCAAACCTATAAAACAGTGCACCAAATTTACAACTATTCTTCACGAGAAATCGAATTAATTGCCCCTGTAGCACAGCTGTAAATCTTTAATTAGCAAAATAAATTATGCTGATCGTTTCGTACTGCCGTCAACTTTTCTCCTATAACGACATATTTAGATTATGATAATTAATTGTTTTGCTAACAACTGTTTGGTCATTTCTGCTGCCACTTTGTGATGGTCGTTTGCTGAATTTTGCAGCCTTAACTGAAATCGCTGAACGTTTGTACAAAATGTTTATTTGTCGTTTTTGTGCCTAAAATCTCGACTTGACGTCGCAAAGCAGACGACCATTATCAAGCACAGTGGTAAATTTAATTTCAGGTGTATATGTAATTTTCGATTATTCTACTTATTTAGTATATTTTAAAGAAATCTTGCTTTCAACTGCTCCGCCATTGCCGGTCCCAAGCCCGGATGAGAAAGGAGGAGGGTTGGAGACCGTGGCAAGTTTCCGTAAAATTCAGATACCTGCCACTCATGGTATTGACGTCTTCGAAAATTATACCGGCTCGGTCATCGCCCGGCTTACTTAGGGCCGCGCAGGCTGTTGGGGGACTAAGGCAGACTGCGAAAAGTCGGCGATCAGAACCTGCTCATTGCC